GTAAGATTCTGTATGGATTTTTAATGGATAATTTTTCATATAATTCTACATGGGTTTGCAATGGTTTTTCTGCATAGAATTCTACAGGGTTTACAATGATTAATTTTTCATGGAATTTTTATGGGTTTGCAATGATTAATTTCATAGGATTCTACATGGGTTTGCAATGAGTAATTTTTTGTTACTGGCATGATGGTTAACTGGTGCCTTTTTTTACCTTTTTTTAAAATATGTAATGACTACTACAAAACCGGATTTGAGGCACAATAGTAAATTTGGCTGAGGCTCAACTGGATTGGTTTAAAACGAACTCTATACTATATTCACGATATATTAATCTTTGTTTTATTACAGAAATAACATAATTCTAGTCGGTTATACTGATTTAGATTGGACTGGAGACCGCAAATTTATTACGGGCTTCTTGTGTTTGAAGTTTTCGGAGCATTAATCGCGGGTCACCAAGACACAATCTACGGTTGCATTGTCTTCAATTAAGAAAAAAAAATTTAATAATACATAGTAATTAAGTTATATTCACAATAGGAAAGCTTTTGCTACAAATGTAAATTTTCGAATTTTTTAAAAATATTTTATGTAAAAAGTGTTCAAATTTGGAATTTACGCTGGAATCTTCTATGATAAAATCAAAATTGAAAAACAGCTTGCTTTTTCATTTTTTTATCGTTTCCGTGAAAATATTTGTTCAAAAATATAAAAACGAATTTTTTCAAGGGGATGCTTTACTTAATATAGGATCTTAACGTAATATAGGACAAATAGAAAAATATGCTTATTATTTTAACACAGACAATATATCCAAAATTCATCAATCGGATACTTTCGATCTTTCCTTTGTAAGAAGTACATAAATATTTTGTAAAAAGTTTATAAATTTCAATAATTTTCGACTAATAATGTGCAGCCTATACTTTTTTAAATTACTAATCCACAGAAGCAGATAAGTAAAAAAAACTGAAGTTTGATATCTACTCTGAAAACATCTACGATATGCCAAATATTTTTTCGCAAATAGTAATCAATAATTCTAATAGCATATTGCTTATTATATGTTCTTACGTTCGATTCTGTATGATTTTATACACAAGAGGATTAGTGATCACGGGATCGTCCAATTCATTGTGACCCCATCTTCTAAAACAATTTAGATCAACAAAAACATCTCTCCTAAACTGTCTTTGATATTTAAAGGCTATTCTTATAGCCCGTACAATCATCTACAACATTTTAACATTATGATTATAAGTTTACTATTAGTAAAGAACAAAGTTTTACCACAGAAGTATATACCTCAGGGTGATCGCCATTCACATGAATTATAGGTGCAGATATACTTTTTGCTAAATCCGTACAATATCTTGATGATCGACTTCTCGAAGATGGAGTTGTAAAACCTAACTGATTGTTAATTACCAAATGAATTGCACCACCAATTTCAAAATGTGGTGTTCTGCTCAAAGTCAAGCATTCTTGGTTAACTCCTTGTCCTGGATAGGCAGCGTCCCCATGTATCTAATAAAGTATTTTAGGAAATATTAAATAATAACATAAATATACAGGATATACATATATATAATATGGAAATTTAATGTAACTATAACAATATATAATATAATACTACATTAGGGTGTTCAAAAATTTTTTTAATTTTTGGCCGCATTTTAGCTAAAAAGTTAGCTAGTGGGGAGATATTAATACCTTAAAGTGCCAACTCTAATTGATTTAATGGTTCCACATTTGCCTTGAATTTTCCCATCAAGAGACACGGTAGTGTCTCTTGATCTAAGTCCGAAAAAGAAGAAAAAGACACGCCGTGTCTTTTTACGCGAGTCGAATAGTTGAGAGTACTCGATATTTTCATTTCACATATAAACGCTGAATGGATTGAGTTATTTCTAGGCTCAATCGATAGCTTGAGTAAGAATTATATAATGAAAGTGTCTTTATTTTTGCGCTACGTGCTCTCTAAACGGAGCTATTACGATATACAAAGTTAAAATGTTAAAATTTTTCATTAAGAAACGTCACAAACATATGATTGTAAGGAGCGATGTACACTTCATATAACTGACGAAATAAGGCGCTAACGTTTTGTGATGTATTGATTTATTGATTACCTAGTTTTGACAATTCATTATCTAGTTTTGACAGGTATGGTTAATATAATAATTTGTTTAAGAAAATAAAATTACAGACGTAATGTACTATTATTTTACTTCGGCTTGATGCAAGCAAATGAATCTGTGTGGAATCAGTTTCTGCAGAGAAAAAATAAGACATCAACAAGTCATGTCAAGTTTTTTGGTTGTTCGATTATGTTTGAGAATCTGCTAAATGTAGATGTGATTGATATCATTATTATAAAATATAAAAAGATTGCTCCAGAGTAAGTAATTTTTGCTTTTATGTAATTAATATTTTTTAAATGCATGCTTTATTTTCCTCTTCTGAGATTTTGTTGCATGATATAATTATACTCATGCCAAATATTTACGTATATGAATAACTTTTTTTATATCAATTTATGTAGATAGATATTAAAAATTAGAAATAAAAAAAATAAATGTATAGTACAAAAAAAGTGATATCCCTAAAAAAATTACCTTTTTAAAAAAAGGTAAAAAAAAGTGCTAAGTTCGCGTAACGTTCCTATCCTAAAATTAATAATATAAAATTAAAAATATAAAAAAATTATAAAAATACAAATCAACGCTCGTGTAAAATTTAAAATTAATAAAACATGAAAAGTAGGCCAAATATACGAGCCGAAATGATTTAGATGTAAGAATAATTAAAAATTATTTATTCATAATATAAATGTAAACGTTTCGACCTTACTAGGTCTTTATCAATACAATCACACACACACACACACACACACAACCGCAAGTATAAAATTATAAAATATAATAAAGAAATTTTAACATAATCTCGCAAGCTATGTAAAGACAAAACTTCGAGTATCATTCGATTTAATTACAATGGTTGAAACAATTATTCTTAGATGTCTTATGTTTATCTGTCAATTAAATGCACGGAGTCCAAATTGGTCGTTGGACAGCGCGAACGGTCTGTTTCGGCATCTTCACGAGATGAGTCCCATTAATTCAACCTCTTTTTCCCCCAAAATAGATATATTAAAAAGATTCCAATGAAGAACAAAAGACTGAAATTCACAGTTGAAAAAAAAGAGAATCGTAGCATTAGTTTTCTTGACATTTCTATTAATGTGATTGAGGATGCGATATATGTAGATTGGTTCTATAAAAAATTTTTTCAGGTAGATTTTTATCTTTTTATTCCAACCATCCGAGGTGCCACAAATTAGGCACTATTTATAATTTAATGGACAGAGCCCTGCTATTGTCGCATCCTCGATTCCATGATAAAATTTGCATACAGTTATAAATGTTTTGTTATCAAATGGCTACCCTTTGGCTCTTATTTTTAATGAAATTGTTGTGCCTCCGGGAAGGCACGGAAAATTTTGGGGTCTCAGTCGACTGAAGGATGAGGATCCTAGGATCGGCGGGCGTCTCTTCCTTGACTAACTTCGATTGTTTATTTGAATAAATCTTTTATTTCCCTTATTTCTTGAGTTGGTTTAATTCTGTATAATCCCACCTGGGTGGTTAGTTAAGTATGCTCGCTCTCGATAGTCAGATTACAGGTGATAGTTTATATTCTGCAGCTTGTCTTCGACTACTAGTTAGGTTCTAATTAGCGACTTGACCTTTTGGATTTTCGTTAGCGACTGACTTCATCGCCTCGCTCTCCGTTCGCGGTGGTCTCCTGCCCTTTTCTACATCTTTCGGGGGAAGATGTAGAGAAGCTCTTTCATTGGCTAATTTTTATTCACACGCTTTTATCTAGGTGCAAGCGAAGCAGGTTGATTCTTCGCTTGCGATCCGCGGTTTTCGGTGTAACGCTTATATTTCATCGCGTTTGCGTCTTTTCGCGATAAGCGCTTCGCGAGAGCGTGAGAACGTTTTTCAAATGATTATATAATAGCCGACTTACTAATTTATTATTAAAACTATATTAATATAATATAATATAATATAGTTATAGTCATTCGGACTATAACAAAATAAATCGCAGGATTAAGAATCTTATCGGCAGCAAATTAAATATAACTGATAAAGAAAATAAAAAGGGTCCTCATGATAGCAAAGATAAAAATAACAAATTTGTTGCAATTCCATATGTAGAATCCATCTCCGAAAAAATATCAGCTAATATTAAAAAATCGGATGTAAATGTAGGATATCGTGTCTTGAAAAATCTAAACATTTGGATTAAAACACATAAAGGCAAGAGTGATGACTCCAGCAATTCAAATGTTGTATATAAAATCAATTGCAGAGACTGTGACGCAACTTATATTGGACAAACAAAAAGACAATTACGTACCAGACTTAACGAACATAAAAACAATTTTAAATTAGACTCTGCAAGACATTCGGTGATTTCTGAACATATTTTAAATAATAAGCACACTTTTGACTGGGAAGGGACTGAAATATTAGATCATGAAATCAAATATAATAAAAGACTTATTTCTGAAATGTTATATATAAAAGAACATAAAAACAGTATAAATTTAAAGAAAGACATCGAATCTCTTGAAAGCTGTTATTTTGACATTTTAGAAGAATTATCTGACACACTTTTTTAATAAAAAATAAACAAATTAACCTTTAACTATTGACAACACTATTGACTATATAAACAGGCTACGATATAATAATGACACATATTATTCCTTAATATTGCTAAGTCGCAACAACCAACACATAACATCAATATGTAAGTTATTGTTAATTTATATTTTTCGGAGTGTTCTTCATTGGAATCCTTTTAATATATCTATTTTGTGGGAAAAAAAGGGCTTGAATAAATGAGACTCATCTCGTGAAGATGCCGGAACAGACCGTTCGCGCTGTCCAACGACCAATTTGGACTCCGTGCATTTAATTGAGAGATGGTCTTAAACATAAGACATCTAAGAATAATTGTTTCAACCATTGTAATTAAATCGAATGATAATTAAAGTTTCGTCTTTACATAGCTTGCGAGATTATGTTTAAATTTCTTCATTATCTGCACTTCATTCCTCTCGACCAATAGAGCCAAACGCGATGTTATTGCGACAATTAAGAAAGAAAGAAAATTTGGAAATTAAGGAATTTGAAGCCTATGGTTGGGATCTCAGAAATTCCCCCTTGTTCCTTCTCTTAACATCCCCTGTAAAGAAATAGGCGAGAAAAATATTGGTCCGAAAGTCGGCTGAATCGGGAATCGAACCCGAGACTTTCCGCTTGCCGGGCGATTGCTCTTCCAACTGAGCTATTCAGACACTTACAAATCAATATTTCTCTCAATGTTTATATCCCCCTACCCACCCCACCCCAAAGCGTCGTAATTAGGTCCAGACGCGACGAAACAATAATAATAAGAATATTTTTAAAGTCAGCTCCTTAATTTTTAAAACCACAATCTGCACTTCATTCCTCTCGACCAATAGAGCCAAACGCGATGTTATTGTGACAATTAAGAAAGAAAGAAAATTTGGAATTTCTTTCTTTCTTAATTGTCGCAATAACATCGCGTTTGGCTCTATTGGTCGAGAGGAATGAAGTGCAGATTGTGGTTTTAAAAATTAAGGAGCTGACTTTAAAAATATTCTTATTATTATTGTTTCGTCGCGTCTGGACCTAATTACGACGCTTTGGGGTGGGGTGGGTAGGGGGATATAAACATTGAAAGAAATATTGATTTGTAAGTGTCTGAATAGCTCAGTTGGAAGAGCAGTCGCCCGGCAAGCGGAAGATCTCGGGTTCGATTCCCGATTCAGCCGACTTTCGGACCAATATTTTTCTCGCCTATTTCTTTACAGGGGATGTTAAGAGAAGGAACAAGGGGGAATTTCTGAGATCCCAACCACATAGGCTTCAAATTCCTTAATTTCCAAATTTTCTTTCTTTCTTAATTGTCGCAATAACATCGCGTTTGGCTCTATTGATCGAGAGGAATGAAGTGCAGATTGTGGTTTTAAAAATTAAGGAGCTGACTTAAAAAATATTCTTATTATTATTGTTTCTTCATTATATTTTATAATTTTATACTTGCGGTTGATTGTATTAATTATTCTTACATCTAAATCATTTCGGCTCGTATATTTGGCCTACTTTTCACGTTTTATTAATTTTAAATTTTACACGAGCGTTGATTTGTATTTTTATTGTTTTAAACATAGAGTTAATCTTAATCATGACTTTTGTTGGACATATGTGTCTATTTTGCATAGCGAGTGTAATGTAAAAAAAAGGGAGATTATTAAAATGATTTTTATCAAAAAACACAAAGACGCTATAAATTTGCAAAAAGACACAGATAATTTAAATGCTATTTATGATACGATTCTTAATGTTTTTTAAGATCCTTGAATATGTATTTTTATTTATTTTGACTTATATTGATTATTATGTCTATGTTTACCTCATAGTCCT